TTTCCTTAAATTAATTATTTTTATTAAGGGTACCCACTTTATAGAGGCTAGGTGTGCCCAAGGAGGGTCTATCTACCCAGGGTCGCTCCATGGCCAATGAATAAGAATAAATAATGGTTCTGCCATGAGTCGGGATTCGAACCTAGGGCCTTTAGTATTGGATGCTCAGTACCATATCACTGAGCTACCGCACTCTCCTATAATTGTATAGTTATGTTTCATGTATGTTAAGCTGAATATTTGATTTATTTCAACACCTTATGTTCGGGGAACTTAAGGCTTTTAATTATCGTTATGGACTAATTATTTAATAATTGTTAATTATGGGTTGATGGTTGCCGGTCGTGAATAATGAAGAGAAGTATGGTTGGAATGATCAGTCAGAAATAAAAAGGCAAAAATAAATAATAATATTTATTTTAACATTTCCCGGTGTTTCGACCTGAAGTTCAGGCCTTCATCAGGGCTAAGAAAAGAACCAGATAACAAGGTATGAAAAACATAAACAATTCAGGTACGAAAAATTAAAGTAAAATGAAGTTGGTACAATAATGACAATAACAAGAACTAAGAAATAAATAATAATAACCGTTACAAAGTGTGGAATAATGAAGTGAACATAATCAAAATAAGGTGACATAAGTACTGAAATGGTAATATTAGACTAAAATGTATAACATAAAAAAGGAATATGAAGTTATATAAGAAATAAAAAAATAAATAGTAAAATTAAGATATTCTAAATAGAATAATAAAGAGAAAGATGGTTGGAGTGATTAGTCAGAAATAAAAAGGAAAAAAATAATACACAATAATATTTATTTTTGCCTTTTTATTTCTGACTGATCACTCCAACCATCTTTCTCTTCATTATTTAATAATTAGTTCGTTTGAAGGAATTAATTAATCTAAAATTTATAATTATACGTTTATTGGTTCGTCTTTAATCTCCTCAGTTAAGGGCAGACCGCGGTGGTCGCCCGCCTGGTGACCGAACGTGAGCAGAATGTCAATCCGAGGTTTAAAGGTTTAGTAAGCAATCATTAACCCTCTATCCCCCTCCTCCCCCTCCATCCCTAAGGAAGGTAGGGAATCAATAATTGTCCGGTTGTAAGCCCTAGTAATTACTAACATTCAGCCCATAAATATACTATAAAAAATATAATTAATATTCAGGTCTCTCTCTTGGTGTGTGAAACTCACGTATGAAGGATAATCTTGTATAACGAGATGTGTTTATAAATTATATGTGATGTAATCCCGTTTATCCGGAACTGTATGCCTATCCTTGATAAGAGATAGTCGACTAGAATTGTCCCACAAGTTCAAATACTAACACAAATGTTGTCATTAATGTTGCCCAAAATCAGTCTTGCATTTTGCAAGACCAAGACCAAGGCCGCCTAACTATAACAAGACCAAGACCGGTAAAAGAAAATCGATTTTTTAAATAAAAATTAAGACAAAATAATTACTAATACTTGACAATCTCAGTTACTATATCTTAGTTGGTATAACATATACACTTTTGAATTTAACTGCTCTAATATTTCATTCGGACTTAGTTAGGTTTCTTCTATCTAAAAACTATATAATTCATTCCTCCATAATAAAAGGCATAGCGAACCCGGAGGTTCAATGCCAACACCACCAATCACTTATTACACACATCCCCTCCCTCCACTGTTCGTCGTCCAAACCCACTCCCTTCATTCACATCGGCTTTAACGCCACCTTCCCACCATCGTCGATTCGTTCTACCTCTCGGTACAGCAAATATCAAACTTTTAGGAATTCTTCAGTTACTAAGTATAACAATCTTACAAGCCCATTTGATGTAATCACCTTAATTATATTAATTGGATACAGTTCACGCATTTCGGCGTTGTGCAACCATCTGAACTCTCCGGTTAACTCATCTTTCTTCGAACCGAATGTTCTACGCAATACTTTCATTTTCAAAAACCTTAAGACGTTGCTCATCCCTTGATGTAACCGGCCACGTTTAAAGAACTGTGGTTTCGTCACAGAAAAATAACAAGCATTTCCCGCCTTCAGCCTAACCTTAATCTCCTCTCCAATTTCGTATTTTCCAGTTATCATAGACCCTAAATACTTAATCTTCTCTACTTGTTCAACCATATTACCCTCTATCGATAATATTTTTTTTATTATTTCTTAATGATAATTACCACTGTATTAAAGAAATAATAAAATAAATAAATGAAAAGGCTTAGCGAACCCGGATGTTCGATGTTAATACCACCAATATTAAAGAAATACACCAATATTAAAGAAATACATTTAGTAAATTTGAACATATGGATATCATGACTTACCAGTACTTTAACACCCTCAGTGCGCAAACCACGCCCTGAAGACATGCTTGGGTTGAATGATTGCCATAAATATATATATATTTTTTTTAAAAGACTCCGTCCTGAATATTTATCACCCATGATATAATGAAGTAAAAACACTTAGTAACTACAAAATGATAGCACTGTAATGATTATTACATTAGGAGATCACGGTCATCTTCTAAATAATAAAATTTAAAATTATATTAGAACAAAATTTTATATGGTTTATATTTCAAGAAAAAAAAAATACATAAAGTGGGAAATATTAAATTATATTACCGTTGTCGGAGTAACTGTGTTATGAAACTTTTTTAATCCGATAAGGCTTCGAATTTTTTTTAGTATGTTGAGTGTTCTGAGAAAATCTTTTAGTGTCCGAGCGCCGGTGAAAAGGAAAATAATTGTGAAATGCTGCTTCAGTAAATGTCTTAAATATCAAGAATTATTCATATAAGACTGCAATATCTCATATTCTAAACTTCGCGTTATACGGAATAACCGATGAATCATTTCGGATAACCGGAGTTTGGTGATTACATTTCAGCTATTATATACGAGCTATTACAAGTTTTATATAAGTTACACACTAATCGAGGCCTGATGGTTAATTGTTATTATAATACATAGCCGTTCCGAAACAATACGGTTACATATAATCGTTATTTATGATTGTGTTCCCAAGACGGATTAGATATTCAAATTTATGTTTAAGGTGACAGTTTCTCGTTAAAAGTTTGTCAGACTTCAGTTTTTTTTTTTTGTTGATAAACCTGACATGTTTCTGATATATTAAATAATCATATTCATGGTATGTGTCAAGCTGCTATGTGAGAGGTCTGTTGTTTGTATCAATAAGTCAAATTGATACAGTGTTGTGTTCCATATAATATTATTATTATTTCGAAAAAAAATATGATTGAAGTGAAAACGCCATTAGGCGTGTTTGCACTATTTTGTGGAGATGAATTTAATTGAGCCGTCAGATAACCGATGGGTAACGCTCGGGATAAAGTCGGCTGGAGTCGACTAATTGAAATCTTTTTGCATATGGATTAAAATACCTCAAAAATTAATAATCGGACCTGCATAATTTTAGCGAGGGAAATGTTCTCGTTTCATCCTCTTTGTGATGAGCTATTATTCAAAATTGTATCTTAACGTGATGCCGTGTTAGAAATCATAAAGAGTTTTATTGAAGGTATGGATTAAAATATTCAAGAAACTAAAAATTAAAAATGCAAGCGAAGGAATTGTTCAACATTTAGTTACCGCAATAGCTTCATTTTTGAGATACGATTTCTCACTGCAGCTTCCTATAGTTAATTCGACGTTATTAAATATTCAAATTCTATATTCACTGATAACTTTATAGAAGGATTTTGGAAGTAAAAAATTCTTTAGAAGCATTTAAAACTTTTTTTTATGGAGAGTGAATAATCGTCAGATCTCCGATGTGTAGCGCTCGGGATAAAGTAGGCAGGAGTCGACTAATTGAAATGTTTTTGCATATGGATTTAAATATCTAAAAAAAACTAAATATCAGACCTGCATATTGCTAGCAAGGGAAATGTTATCATTTCATCCTCTTTGTAATGAGCTATTATTCAAAATAGTATCTTAACGTGATGCCGTGTTAGAAATCATAACCAGTGTTTTTGAAGATATAGATTAAAATATTCTAAGAAACTAAAAATTAAAAATCTGGTGTGCCCACCCACACGAGTTTTCTACCTATTTCAGAAAAGTTTTTATATCTTTACATATGTCTATCAAGAAAAAAAAAATTGAATTAGATTTATTTTCCTGAAAACTGATCAAAGATAAGAATTGAGTAAGATTTATTTGATAAACTTAAGCAATGTAAACTGGCTTATAGATCAGTGTAAGTTTCATTCCCTCTAATATTGCTGATCAAAAATTATTTGTCATAGCCTAATTTTGTCAAAAAATAATTTCTCTCAAAAGGAGAGGAAATAGTGAAGCTTGTGAGATGCGGGCAACAGATTTTCTTACTTTCACTAAGTTAACTTTTTTCTCTCATTCATTCCTTTCTGACGCCAGGATATGTAGCAGTAACCGTACATTGGAAATTGAGTAGCTTCGTTAATAGTTGTCCGAAATGAATGATTTTTATATAGTTTTGTAGGAAATTTATTACCTTCCAAAAAAAAAAAAAAAAAAAAAAAAAAAAAAAAAAAAAAAAAAAAAAAAAAAAAAAAAAAAAACAGACAGACAGACCAATTGCTAAAAATGCTTATACCAATGAATAATAAATTTTTAATTTATGATTTTTAATATTTTATTTTATGCAGGGACTAAATGAACTTCAGATAGATAAAGGTAATTTTTATCTTCCGTGTTCGGGATTCGTCCTAAGAGAAAAACCATAAACCTAAACAAAGTCGGTTTAAAACTCATTTTAAGAAGAATTAACATGAATTCTCATCTAAAAAAAAAAAAATTAAAGGGCCGCTTTAATAGGGAATTTAGAAAGGAACAAGTTAAGGAAGAAACTGTTATAAAATATAATCCGCTCCCGGGTTTCTTGAGTTAATTAAACGTTGGTGGTAATAGGGAGGAAAGAACTGCGGGGTTCCTAAGATATATCTTCCCTCCCTCCAAGTATTCAAAACCATGTTACTGGAGGTTGTTAGGAACCTTAAGAGAGTGCAGTTCGTTCACCTCAAGTCGTGACCATGTGTCTGCTCTCCCTAGCGAAGATAGGGCAAGGGCCGTCTTCGATAGTGCCTTTGATACAGTTTGGCCTTTGAGGAACTTTGAGCCACCGAACTACGAACCAAAATAGTTTACGGATAAATTAAAAATAACATTTAAAAACTCATATCAGCATACTCTTTAGTAGCGTGATCTAAGCTGATTAAAGACTATTGTTTCTGTAAACAGTAGTCGTATAAAAATTAAATTAAAAACTCTGATGTTTCCACTCACACGACTTTCCTACATATTTCAGAAATATTTTTATATCTTTACCTATGTCCATTAGGAAACGAAAAAAAAAATTAATTAGATTAATTTTCCTGAACATTTATCAAAGAAAAGATTTGAGTACGATTTATTTGATAAACTAAAGCAATGTAAACCGGCTTAAGGTAGATAAAGAGTAAAAATTTAAAAATTTCAATAAACTCTAATATTGCTAAGCAAAAACTTATTGCCAGAAGAAATAGTGAAGCTTGCAAGATGCGGACAATAGAATTACTTAATTTCATCTTATCTTTTTAAATTAAATAGCTGTAACTTCGTTAATAGTTGTTCGAAACAAACGATTATTATATAGTTTTGTAGGTCATTTCATTACCTTTCAAAAACAGGCTAAACGGGGGCTCTGAAACGTACAGATCCATCGAAAACCGCATATCCGAAATTTGACCCGACCGCAATACTTTGCTTACCTAGTATAGGTGGGGAAGTAATAAATTAAAACATGTGTGGAAAATAGAATGCGCTGTATCATCGCTAAAACTGGTTCGATTCCGATTATTTTTTCTGTTGAGTTGGTAATTTAATTATTTTTCAAAAGTTTTACTTTTCATGGTAACTTCATTACCGTTTAAAACCAATACAATTAAATAAATAATTTAAATTCCATCAGCCGCATTATATTCTAGGACCTTGAGCATTGGAAGTCACCGCTCTACCACTGAGCTACCACCAAGCTAATAGTTTTTAAAATGTTACCGTGCAGTCAAAGAAATGGATCGTATTGGGGGGTTTGCCTATATGTGTATATTTGTGTGTATATATATATATATATATATATATACACAAAATCATTTTGTCAAAATATATATTTCCTACTTAATTTGTGTTCGTATTTCATTTAATTAACAAATTAAATATTTAAAAAATTGATCAGTTTTATTTTTCATTCGTGAAACGTTAAGGCTTTAAGAGATTAGTTTACATAATGTATCAAGTCTGTTAACCTCATAATTTAATCATGGAAATTTTCGAATGAGAAAAACTTCGTACTGGAAAACGCTTTTCACCTTTAATAATAAATATAACGTAAACCGACATTTAAAAACATTAAAAATGAAATGACTGAATAACTCAACAGTAATTTAATTTTTTATACGAGCTGTACGGAATGGTTTTACCAACGTTAAATTTTCATTATACATACTTGTTTAATATATACCGGGTAATATTGAATAACTGAGTAACGTTTTAAATTTCTGTTTCATATCAGACTGAAACGACAAGAAACCGCTCGACGATTCCGATTACTCCAGCACTTAATAGACTAACGCTCTAAACTTCCAATTAATTACAAAAGACTCATATACATGACTATAATAAGGCCTACTTGGACTTAGGAGTTGAGCTATGGGGCTCCACTAAACCATCGAATTCCTTTCGTATCCAATCCTCACAATCCAAAATCATTTGTAAAATCCTCAATGCTCTCTACTTCGTTACAAATAAAACCGTCCATAATGACCTTAATGTTTCTTTTGTTTTAGTTCTGGCCCAATCCAGATAATAATAAACTTCAGAATCATCCTAAACCTCTCGTTTCTAACCTTGCTTCCTCTTCAATTCCTGATAATCCTCCGAGGCGTCTGGAAAGGATATGGCCCCGTGATCTCCTAATGTAGATATATCATTAGAGTGCTACCGTTTGGTAGTTACTCAGCAAGTGTTTTCATGTCATTATATCCATATGGTGAAATTTACTAGATGTATTTATATAGTACAGTTGTAAATATCATTAAGAAATAATAATAAAAAAAAAATTATATTGATAGTCAAAAGAAAACAATAATAATAACGGAATAGAAAGTTGTCTAAAGGTAAACGAGACTTCTGTTAAGTCTACTCCAATGAGCTTAAAAGTTTGTCATCGTGACTCATTTATAGTGTAAATTAAATAAATCTGTAAATACATTTGTCTTCATATTATTGATGTTACACTACCAATAACATTTAATTCTAGCGTAACCCAAGTGTTTACAAGACAATGATTCAACTCCAGTAGAGAGGAACGCCTTTAAGCTAAGAGCGTGGTCATAAGTTATGCAATCAGAAGGACAACAGTAGCTATCTCACAACTGACACTTCAAACGTCCTACCGACTCTCCAGCTGGGAGATAAACTGTGCAACTGCACCAATTAATAACCATCATATATTTCTTCGACTTCTTTTTTTCTGGGACAAAAGCGATAATTCGAGAGGCAAGTGGTTGAAGTGATATGGGAAAAAACAATTTTTAATTCACTACATCTATTGTTTTTTTAAAATCTAATTTCGATTTAAACTCGAATATTTAATTGTTTTTAATGTAAGTTATATTGGACTAATATTCAACAAATGAATGACCTGGGGCACACGCGTTAAAATGAAAAAAAAATTGAACAAGCGACTGAAAATAGTGTATCAACTTTTCGAAATTAAAAATCAGAACTTTTTTTATATTATTATTTATATGATATTTACAACTGTATAAAAAATATATATATTTAGTAAATCCGTACATGGATATAATGACTTTAAAACCATGTTGAAAAACTACCCATTGGTAGCACTCTAATAATATGTCTAAATTAGATCATGGGGCCATTTTCTTTTCAGACGCCTCGGAGGGTTATCAGGAATTGAAACCAGGTTAGAAACGAGAGGGTTGGGATGGTTATGAAGTTTATTATGGAAAGATAGATATCTGGATTGGGCTAAATCTGATAAATAAGGAACATTAAGGTCATTGTGGATGATACTATTTGTAACAAAGTAAGGAGCACTGAGGATTTTACGAAGGATTTTGGATTGGATGCGTGAGGAATTTGAAGGTTTGGTGGAGTCCCATAGCTCAACTCCGTAAGTCCAAATAGGTCTTATTATAGTCATGTATCTTTTATATATAGTCTTTTGTAATTAATTGTAAGGTTTTAAAAAAAAATATCAGAACTAAATACAAAAAATATAAATATAAACCCATGATTATCCAACACACAAGTGAACAGTTAAGTTGCCAACGTTTCGCCAATGATCAGGAAAATAAGTATATAGTCAAAGTAATATGGTGTGAGCCAAATATTACCCATTTATCTCTAAGTGCGTGATTTTGGGTTGGTCCACGTTTCAATTGGTGTAGACTGTATGGTGGTTGAATCACTGAAATTAAATTTTCAATATAATCAAAAAATGATTATATTGAAGACAATGAATACAAACAAAAATAAAATGTTTGTTAATATAATTTTAAAAATAGAGGTAGAATTAATGATGAAAGAGGAAAAAAAAATAAGGATTCTGTGGTTTGGCATTTCAGGGTTGAAAGAAAGTAATTTTTTTTCAGACCAAAAATTATGCTGAATGTGGAATAAATGTTAAAAAAATATCCTGATTTCTAGGCATTTTTTTCTTCCCCATTATTCCTCCACCAGGCTCTTTCACTTGGATTTAGAAAATTATGCTTCTTTAATAATGTCAGGTCAAAAAAATAAACTAGTCAATACTTTGCTGCAGCCTAGGCTTAACTTTGCAGGAAATTGACTTAAAAATTGAGGCCAATATAATGGTGGTGAAGCCCAGAAATATATATATATATATATATATAAGTATTTTTTAATGCTTCAGATGTTGATGAACAAACAAAATAAATTATATGCGGAAAAAATGAAAAAAAAATATATATTGACGTCTCTTTAAGCCATCAAAATGGCAACAAACCGAGATGTAAATAGCATTTATTTTTCTTCCTCTTTTTTTTTTTTGTATAAACCTGACCTTGATTTTTCTTATGATGCACACAAAAAGTACAATATTTCTAATCCAAAATTATAAGACAAATAACAACAGCTTCCTAGAAACGCAAATAACAAACTTTATATACTGACTTATGACGACCAACTATAAACCAATACATAGGGTGAACGCACCAGTTATGGACAGGGGGCTCAGTGATGTACAAGTTGGAATGTAAATGTAAATAATAAGCCTCCTTGTTAATTTAAAGGTTCCTCTTTTTTTTTTCTAGATTAAGGAACAATCCTAAAGTTCCCAAAATAAAATTTTAAAATTCTTATCAATGTTGTTTCTACAGTGCTCTTGAGATAAGTGTGTTTCATAACTTCCTATTAACAGTTTTGCTGAGAGTAAGTTGAACATTTATGTTATCCTATCTTTATAGTTAAATAAAAATTTAGAATTTTTCTGAAGTATGTCCATTATTGGTACCGACCCTTTGTCCATTACTAGAACCATTGAATTTCGTGGTGTCCTTCACTTGTGCAAAAAGTCTTAAAAACACGAATACAATAGTTCTTGGATACAGTAATTTCATGTAGGTGTATTATATTTTAATCTTACATCTCGTCTGTGGACGTGAATCGAACCCACCTTGCGTTAAAATTTAACGGGTACCCTTAGAGTACAGCCTAAACATCATCCATTATTCCTATCTTGTTAATTGCCTTGATAAAAGCTCGCAAAGTTGGCTGGAACTTAAGCAAACATAATTAATATACCGCTAATGTGTGTTTCTTTACTGAAAACAGGAAGCTATCTCTTAGATTCATGATAACTTTTGCATTTAAAAAAAAACGAAAACTACATTAGCATTTTATTACACATTATATTATATTGGATGACTAGTTGAACCGTACGAATAACTCGCGAAGTACGTTGTGGTTGGTAAACAATTGACAATATTATGTGGAAAGAAGCGAATGAATTTTATTTATTCCAATGAGGAATTAACTTTAATAAAAATAATTGATGAAACTCAACATATTATAATATGACCACTTTGAGTCTAAGATTTCGAAAAAGAAGAAGGAAGATAAAAGATAAAATTTACTATTCTTGAATATTTAGTCCACTAAGAATAATTATAATGAACAAAAATATGAAAATTGTCTGACATTATAAGAAAAAATAAATAAATAAATAATCTAACCTTATAATTGACCTAAATACACATACATATATTTTCTGATTAACAATATAGATGATATATAAATAACAGTAACACAACAGTCAATTGAGGGTGACAGCTCTTTGATTTGAAATTTTATTTGGAAGATAGGTTGCTGAGTAGGTGGAAGAATGAATGTTGTTTACATGAAGTTGAGGAAGAGGATTTTCGTATAGAAATAGGTAGGAAATTCCAAAAAAAAACTGTAGCACCCATGATAAAGAATTTTTTAAAGAAAATGGTTCTATGACAGGGAACCAACATGTCTATGGATTGGAATTTCGTGGAAATCTTTCGTCTGATCAGCCCTGAAGTTCGAGCCGAAACGTCGTCAAAAAATAAAGATAAATACAATTTATTTATTTTTATTTTTTTTTTACTGATCATTTTAACCAATTTTCCTTTCTATATATAGTGCAGATTCGAAACGGAGAAATAATCCATAGGTAACATAATAATGAGTACGGCAAATAACTCCCGAACTTGTTTAGAAAGGAATCCTGCAGAAATACAATGAAGCAATGAACGAATTCAAACAAGAAAGAAGCGGCCATAGTAGAGAAAGGGTTTTGCTACGGCGGCGGCGCGTGAATCATTAACGACTCAGAAGGATACAGAAAGAATGTGGGACCCAGAGGCAGCCGTAGCATCAACTATTTAATGTAGAAGGGCGCAGTTTGTTTTCCGCGCCCTTTCCAGTAACAAGGGCAAAATGGCCGGACATTTAAAAGCACTATCTTATATTAACTATTCAGGCGCCTGAGGCCGGAGGTCCGATAAAACCCGTAGGCCATTGTCTTCAGCTTAGCCAGACAATTAGTTTTAATCAATTATTAACGATGCGGAGGGGGTATTAACTGCCGTCAATTGTACTAACGATGGCTCCGCGGGAAAGCATTAGACCGCCAAAACAATTGTGGCTGGAAGCGGACTTAAGGGGCTTTGTCCAGGCTGGACTGCCGGTACACCCACCTGCCTTTCCAGGGACCAATAACAATGGCCTCTAGTTAGGTCCACTAATTTAATTTAGAATCTTACTATACCTTCTGAGCTCACTTTATTTACCAATTCTCTGGAGAGGTAAAAAAAAGAAAAAAAAAATGCGAACAGTAATAAGGAAGTTAAAGGATGGTACGATCCACGACTCAAACTTCTTTAACGATCCATCAAAAAGGACTTTTATGCATAAATAGCCAACATTCCGAATGAAATATTTTTATAAAGAAAATTAAATAATTTTTTTTGTCTTGAATTTTACCACACGGTCATTCGGAATTGCATTCCGAGGCAGTATTGACGTTCCGATTGATCGTGTAAGGTAATGACTAAGTACTGATGGATGTGTCTGGCGGTTTCCGAAAATCCGGAAATTAAAGGTTCAATCACGAGAAGTGGAGGGGAGACTGCGGTAAAAGTGGTGGGGAGACTAACCTTGCTACTATATCGGTTAGTATACCTAGGCCTCACAACCATTGTTAATTCCTGATTTTAAAATTAAATAGTTTTTCATATCTCTAGTTATATCTTTATAAACAATTTTCAACTTTTTTTTCTTTTAATAGGCAATTTAGTAATAAATTAAGAAAAAAAGTGGAAACTTCACAATTTATTTATATTAATAGAAAATTATTAATCTTTAACTGTTGCGTATATTTGTCAGTTCTTTTCCCATTTTTCTCAACAAATATATTATTCTCTTAATACCTTTCCTTAATTTTTGTAAGTAGTAGACTTATATTACCGTATCTCAGTTGTAGGGCACTAAGGTTCAAATCCTCAAGGTCCCAGGTTCGAATCCCGGATCATGGCAGAAAAATTATTTATTCTGTTTCATTGGCCGTGAGGCGATATTCCTAAGGCACACCCAGCCTTTACAAAGTGGGTACTCTTAATAAAATTATTGATTAAGGGGAAAAACCTGGGGGTTGAGCGTGATCCTGAACTTAACTCCTTCCAGCACAACCGTTGGCATTGTAACAGTACTGAATCAAAGATCCTCATTGATTGTAGTAGTACAGGTTTTTTAGTAGACTTATATTAGTCTACCTTTTTCAAACGATTTTCTACGAAACTAAACTTACTAGATAGGTAAGTTTACCCTAGGCTTAACAATTGTACATTCCTGATTTTCATTAAGTAAATAATTCCATGAAAGTAAATAGTTTTTCATATCCCTAGTTTATATTTTTATAAACCCTTTTCAACTTTTAGTCAAGAGAGCAATAAATTAAGAAAAAAAAAGTGGTAACTTCACAACTTAGTTATATAAAAAAAAGCTTTAACAGTTGTGTATATTTGTCAGTTCTTTTTTAATTTTTCTTAACAAATTGATGATTTAATAAATACTTTTCCTTAATTTTTGTAAGTAGTTGACTTATATTTTTCTAAATATTGTCAAAACGATTTTCAGGCAAGTAATTATTTTAACTCCATTTCCCTGGGCTAAAATGGTCAGTAATGATTGAACGTGTTGGATACATCATGATTGGAGCAATCCTTGTCAATCTTGTGACTTTCATTCACGACTGATCTTGTAAAGTCCGCTTAACACACATTCGTTCGGTAATATTTTGCACCGATATTTCGTGATAGTTCCGTTATTTGTTACAAACGCAAGAATAACACCATTCTTCATTTTTTTTTTCTGTACAGCTTACAAATACCAGTTATCCTTAAGAGAAACCATCTCAGAGTAAAGTCATTTTCATAACTATGGGTTAATGGTTGACTTTCGTGAATAATGAAGAGAAGGATGGTTGGGATGATCAGTCAGAAATAAGAAGGCAAAATAAATAATAATATTTATTTTAACATTTGCCGACGTTTCGACCTGAAGTTCATGCCTTCTTCAGGGCTAAGAAAAGAACCAGATAACAATGTATGAGAAACATAAATATTGTAGGTAAAAAAAAAAAAAATAAAGTAAAATGAAGTGGGTAGAAAAATTATAGAGATAAATAATAATAACCGTTACAAAGTGTGGAATGATGAAGTAAACATAATCAAAAAAGGTGACATAAGTATTATAATGGTAATCTTAGAAAAAAATGTAAAACAGAAAAAGGAAGTTATATAAGAAATGAAAATAAATAGTAAAATTAAGATATTGCAAATAGTATAGTTAGATAGAAAATTGAGATTACTGTTGCCCAAAATCGGTCTTGGTCTTGCATTTTGCAAGACCAATACCGAGGCCGCCTAACTGTTGCAAGACCAAGACCAGAAATGGTAAAAAAAAATAGATGTTTTAAATAAAAATTAAGGAAAAATACTTACTAATACTCGACCATCTTAGTTACTATATGTTAATAATCGGTATAACCAATATACTTTTGCATTTAACTCCTCTAATTTTTCATTACGGCTTAGTTAGGTTTTTCCAATCTAAAATATTACAGTAATATTTCTATAGTAATAAATTAATAAGTAACTGCAAGACTGTTGCGAGACTCTTGGGCAAGACCGAGATCATGACCAAGACTAAGTTTGCAAGACCAAGAGTCGTCTCGGTCTCGTATTTGGGCAATACTAATTAAGATATTGTAAAGTCTATCAAAATGTAGTGACAACGTATAATAGCATAACAAGTTAATGCAGAGAAAAGTAATGAAAGGAAGGAGGAAAAAAAGAGAACACAGAAATAAGAAAGAAAAAACATTTTTCTGTTATATAAAAGTTTCCCGGCGGATTTTAGAAGGAATGAAGATCAAAAGTGATTTGGTTGGAGTTAGGTTTGATTTTGCTTTGAGATTCTTTTGAGTTGCAGTTTTGCAGTGCATCCTACAAGTCTTGGTTGTTTTTTTTTTTTTTCAATTTTTCAAGAAGAATGTTTATGCTTTAATTAATTTCAGAATATGAGAGTAATAATCACTTAAACAGGACAAGGGGTATGAAGGGGCTTAGGGGAATAAGTATACGACAGCGGAGCGGATGAGGGAAGAGATAGGATCCCTAAGGAGCAGTTTGATACCTGACGGGGGCCGTTCTGTTCGAGACGTTAGCAACACAGGGAGCATTAACTGGAAATATGTGGAGGCCGGTCCAGAGGCCCTGACAGCTGATGTGGGTAGGCAGCCTGCCCACTTGTTACTGCTCCAAATCACACGGCAAAGGTAGTGGGGGGGAGGGGTGTAACAGGGATCATTTCTGAACAGGATAAGAAAACAATATTGACTATTGTATCAAATGAGTTATAATGTAACAAATAACTCATTTCAAAAACTAAATGGAGGTTCCTGTAAAATAGGCCAAGTAATTTTTTCTTATGGAAAAGTAAGTTAGATTTGTTTCTAGTCCTTTGAAACTCTTAAGAAACCAAAAAATGCTAAATTTAATACTTTATTTTATTTAAAATATTATTAGATAGATAGATAGATAGAAAATAACTTTATTCTGGGACGCAGTCCCTTGAGAATAACAAAATAGAACAAAATTAAAAGATCACATCTCGCCAAAATAAAATCAATCGAAAAAAAGAAATAATGTAAAGAAAATAAAAGGTAAACATTCTATATACAAAAAATTAACAATATGACGAGACACTAAAAGCTATTTGCACTGATAGACCAGTATACACTTTTAAGAAAACAATAAAGAATTAAAAAAATTAAAATATATCAAATTCTTTATTATAATAAGCTTTGTGTTTCTGTTGAGAAAACAGAAAGCTGAATATGACAATATAAAGTGCCTGATTAATATACAAATACATTATCAGTTAGCATTGATATTTGACAATGAATGGCTTGAAATAAATGTATGTTGTCGAATGGTTAGCAATAAAGGAGTTTTGGAATGAGGCAGATCAGTGAGAAGGCATGTAACGGTTAGAAGGTCGAGATCTTGTGGACAAGGGATTGACTAAGGATTTAAACTGGAGAAGGTTGTAGGCGTAAGAAGGACAATGGTTGTTGATGATTTGGTAGAGGAACGTACCTAGGAAATATTGTCTTCGGAAGAAGGGAAAAAGCCACTTTAACTCAGCGTAGTGGTGAGAGACATGGGAGTATCTTGGGGCCCCGATCACTTATTATTATTTTTTTGTAATTTGGTTAAGCGCATCAGTGATGGACATAGCTAAATGACTTTTTTTGTATTTTTTGGCTTACACAGCCGTACTTATTATAGTTATAAACTTCTCTCTTGGACAGTTAGAATCTCTGGGGTCTCCTTTTCCTATTTAACATTTTAAAATTGAAAAAAAATACTCAGTTATGCAGGTATAATCCCAATTTAAAAAAAACAACAACTTTTTGCATTAATGATGGACAACCCAAATTCAATTGTTCTAATAATTGACAGGGGGTTGGTACCAGTAATGGACATACCTCAGAAAAATTCTAAAATAATTTTTTAACTATAAAGATCCCGAGCCAGATACCTATCCTTTCATGATAAACTTCAGTCCCATCCAAATCCACTTATTTCCAGCCTTGCTTCTTCCTCGATTAATGATAATCCCCCTAGACGTCTGAAAAGAAGATGGCCACGTGATCTTCTCACATAGAATTAAATAGGGAGTGCTACCACTGGGCAGTAACTCTTCAATTCTGTTCATGTCATTATTTCCAATGTGTGCAGTTTTACTAGTTGTATTGTTTTTACAGTTGTAAATTTCATTAAATAAATAAAAACTATAAAGATAAGATAAGATAAATATTCAACTTATCATTAGTAAAACTGTTAGTAAGAAGGTATGAAACACACTTATCTCAAGTGCACCACAGAAACAACAATAATAAGTCATTTTAAAATTTTCTTTTAGGAACTTTGTTCATACAGTTGTCAATAGAGTGCGTTTTTCTTCGATCTAGAAAAAACTGATACCTTTAAATCAAAAGGAAAGCTTATTTTTTACATTTAAAGTCTGACCTGCCCATCACTGGACCCTTAATTTATAACTGGTGCGTTCACACTAAAGCATTCATAACTTATCAGGATTTTCTACAAATCAACGTTTGTACAGCCGTTGGAACGTTGAATTACTCCTCTTCCAACCCTCTTCGAATTTTGATTTTTTTTTTTCTCGACTCCTTGGGCACATTCCAACGAAATCCTGGACATGCGTAAAATATTTTTCGACGTAAAAATCCATAACATTTGATTGAAATCGGTCTCCAATGACTGCAGCATCTCTTTTTAAGTAGGACTTAAAATTGACAAAGAGAAGTGTCAAGGATTTGAGAGTGTTAGACGTAAGACGTTTTCTGTAGGCGTCTCGAGGCCCTAGCAGCTGCGTAACTAACAGGCAAAATTAACCGTGAACTAGTTTCCGTCATTTTCAAGGATGAGCAAGGAATATTAGTTTATCTTCAGAGATTATTATTCAACTCAGCATTTTTAGTACGTAATGAAATAAGAAAAAAATAAATAATAAATTTAGCGATTTTTTAAAAATATAATTAAGCAAATAGTAAACTTGTTGAATTAAAAAAGTTAGTCAAGGTGATCCACAATCGTCAGTAATGTTTTTATAATTCATTAGAGAGTTAATTAAATTAAAATATTTATTATCAATTTATTAAGTTTTTTTTAACATGTTTAAGGTTTTTAATTCGATTTAAAGGGCGGAAGGACGAATATTATGTGCCCTTCAGAGCGAGTGATTGATAACCTCAACGTAGCTTCCATGCCCCCATATTAATTTTTTTTATATGTAATATATATATATACTGTGACCCAGTATTATATTTTCGGTTCGATACCCAAACCGAAGCTAATTGGGACATATAAAATTTATTTAAGTAATAAAAAAAAATGCAAAACGACATGAATCCTATCACATATAAAAAAAATGCTTAAACACAACATTATGATTTTACATAGCTAAGTTTTTATTGATTGAATTTAATATAATATGACTCAATGATTTATAAACTGTCGAGATATTCTTTTATAATATTGTTATGTTTATTAAACACTTATAATTTTGTATTAATGAGTATTCTATAGGTAGAAGTGATGAAGTATATTATTTATTTATTTTTTACCTCAACAAATTTATTGTTAGTCAGTATAAAAGGAAACCGGAAAATTTTATTTTTCACTACTTTTAACTAAATCCAGGTAAAATTCTATTATTAAAGTAGATATTTTTATCTTTAAACATTTATTTTAAATTTTAGCCTTTTTTTTTTTAATTATTCATTATTATTTCTCATATTTTTTTTTTCAGAACATAAGGCAACAAAAAGAATCTATTTTAAAAATAATAAAAAGCCTTTGTTATAATAGGAAACTTCTTACCGACTGTTCAGAAAAAAAATGAACAATCATTTGTCGATCACGGACAGGTTTTGTGAGTTCTCAAATGCATATTTACTAAGAGGACTTGAACCTTTAAAAATTTTATATTCAAACAAACGTATGGATGTTGCATAAGAGTGCACTGCAATTAAAACCGTAATGAATAAGTTTGAAAACAGTAAAATTCTATAACTGAATGTAAGTAAAAAGTGTTGCCAATGAACCTGCATGATAGAATCAACAAAAAAAATTACAAAAAAAAAAAATTATTTTTTATCAATATACTGTTAGTACGTTGGCTTTGAAAAAGAACTTCCGAATAAAGTACTGAACCCAAAATCCTTAGCGTGTTGTAGCGGTACAGGTTTTTTAATATAGCGTTAGTATATAATTATTTCTAATTTTTAAATATTTACTTTTAAAATATGTAATATTTAGCTTTATATTTTGATTTTTTTTCATTTTTTTTTTAGATTTTTATAAATCATTTATTAACATGGTGAGAAGAGTAAAAAAAAAATAAACAAATGATAGAAGAGAGTTTGATTGCAGGGTTCAATAAAAAAAATAAATAAATGATATTTATTTTTATATTTGTCGTCATTTCGGCCCGAAGTACAGGCATTTATCAGGGGTAAGAAAAGAGCAAATAACAATATGAGAAAATATTAATTTATGAAAAATAAAAAAATAGTAATAACGTAACGTACATATGAAACAAAAATTAATAACAATAACAAAGAGGAACTTTTATCTTTTTTTAATTTATTGAGTATTACATCAATCTACCTCTTGGACATTGGTTATAGTGAGGTAGGATAACATTCACACTATATGGGAAAAAAAAAAAATTCCAGGAGAACCCTGCGCTACTCTCTCAACCGCATCACTGGTACTAAAGCCAGTGGAGATTGATCGAGAGCACTTTAGCCACATTGTTACATTATTATAATTAATATTTTTATTTTCATAAGTTAATAGTTTCTCATATTGTTATATCTGGTCTTTCCTTAGCCTTGATGAAGGTCTGAAATTTGGGACGAAACGTCGGCAAATATAAAAATATATGTATATATATATATATATATATATATATATATTTTTTTTTTTTACGAACACCTCAACCATCTCTTCAATTATCCACTAGTCAACCATCAAACCACCATTATAAATATACAATAGTTGCTTTAAATATATTATTAAAGGATTAAACATTAAATAATTTTATAAATTATTAAAAACGGTGACAAGCATCATCATAACCTTCTCCTGACTTTATTATACCAATTATTACAAGAGTGTTTGGGGCAGTTTCTTGCACGAGTTTGTGGGTATGCGCAGCGTGAGTGTGAAAGCGTTTGCATGTAGTTCAGCTCAGGTACATACACATATGTTAAGTCCGTAATGTGAAATAAGTTGCTAAAGTAAAATTATTTGTTAAACAAACTGAATAGAAATTCGCAACAAGATGCTCTCCCCGTTTGCGTCATATCCTATCCACACACACACACACTACATCCTCCTATATTAAAAATATTTCTGTTGGGCTTGGTACAAGGTAAAAGGGAGCCATGAATATTCAACGTACGTCCGCTCGATCAATGGACCTCACAACGTATCTGTAAGAAATTATTCAACCAGCTTCCACGCAGCCCTTCCTCGAAATAAAGAGAGCGGCCATTGTACGGGCAGATAACGTGTCTAAAAAAAATCTTTGAGAAGTAGAAGAAAGAATGAAGAATAAAATTAATTTTAAAATAAGAAAATTAGC